CAGAAAAATACCTACCATTCCCAGCATGTCCCAGCCAGCCATAGTAGTTGTACAACTGTTACCTGTCTAAAAATATTTGGATTGCACCCAAAGCAGTAGATCCCACTTTTTGATTAGAGCCCCCAGTATTAGAAACATAGAAACAGAGCAGGTCAGAAGGGGCCTCCCAGACCATCTAGTTGAAACCCCGGTTCCATCTGGCTCTGCTCATGACATGCCTACCATGTGCATGTCCATATTTGTAAAATGGAGCTGCTCCAGCAAGAACTACACACTCTAAAGCAAAGCCAAGCAAACCTTGCAACTAAACAAAACTGAGAAAAAAAGCAAGCAGCCGCACTTGATGCTTGCCTGTGCCTGCCTCCTTCATTTCTGTGGCATGCCTCATTGTGATGGCAGAAGACGCAGCTTCCTTTTGCACCCTTGTTTGCAGTGCAATAGGTTTGTGCTGTTAGTCCTAACTAACCACTCCGCATGCAATCAGTGTTTCTGCAGAGTGATCTGATCCTCTTTAAACATTTTCCAGGCAAGGGCTTAAGTAAATTCCTCAGACCATCAGTAAATGCATCTGGTTGGTGCCTTTTCTTTTCTTGCATTACAGCACACCATTGACAGGATACTGTGTCAGTACAACTTGTGCTTTAAGCATTTTGAAAGTGTCATCAGAGAGTTCAACACATTGCAAAATAGCTATGAGTTATGCTGGAAGTTCCTCCACCAGCTGGAAAACACCATCAAGAAAATGAAGGTAAAAAAACCCTATTGCTTCAGAGTTTGCTTACATAATCACAGTTCAGCAATTATTACTTCAGAGTTGTTCTTCTGGGATATCCACCTCAAGCTACATAAACAACAACTTCTAGGATGGTTCTGTCACAGGTAGATGCTGATGATAACTGGCCATATCTGGTTTACGGTTTCTTTGTGGAAATGTAAAAGCCACCCACCATGTTACCATGTACTTTCCATTTGTTTTCCTGGTGTGGTAGGTGTAACTGTCCCCAGCATGAATACATGGCAATAAGGAAAGCATCATGTGCTGAATTTCTTCCTGGCACATAGCTGTTAATGGTGCTCATTTTCTGCAACAAAAAGTGAAGGCCATCCTAGTCAGGGTGCATAAAGATATGCATGAGGAGAGCTTCACACATTACACTGAGCATGCGCTCATCCCAAGGACGTATTCATTCAGATAGTTGTGCGAATCTCTTCCCATGAGTTCATCCTGAATTTGCACCTAGGCACTTGTATCCTATTTAATCCAGGGTGCAGATCAAGTATACAACCCTGCCGGAATGTCATGCACACAGATGGGTGTGGGTGAACTGCTGAAGTCAACTTTTGTTTTTGGTAACCTTGTAGGGGAGCTCCCTGCATGGTTCCAGGGGCACAACCCCTTTGGGTTCTGAGCTGCTGCATCAGATTCCCCTCAAAGAGCCTTTTGTGACAAATTCTGTGGAGAAAACTGGAGCGAGGAAAGCTCCAGGTAGGCTACAGAGGAGAGGGCAGACAAAAATCAGGAGCCAGGAAGACGGTAGAAGAGTGAGTATCAGCCAAATATCTTCACCCAGCATTTTGTCCAGCAGCAACTTTGTGGTCAGAGAGTGATGGGTGCTGAGGCCTACCACTGCATTCCAGCCTGGGGCTTTGATGAGATACCCTTTTGCTGGATAACTGATATATTAGACTCCATTTTTCCTTTTCTTTGTGTAGAAACATACCATAGCTTGTAGAGTTATTTGACTTGCCCCTGTTGCCTCAGAATGAAGAGCTATGCTGGATTAGAACAAAGGTTGGCATTGTTAGCATTCTCTTTACACAGCGGTCAGCTATCTGCCTTTGGCAAACCCATAGCCTCCCTCCTGCCCAATTTCCCCAACAGCTGGTGTACATAGGTGCACTGTCTCCAATACTTGAGATCACAGATAGCCATCAGGACTAGTAGCCATTGATGGCCTTCTCCATAGATTTCTCTCATCCCCTTTTGAAGCCATCCTAATTGGTGACCATCGTTACATCTTGTGGTAGCAAATTCCATAGTTTGGCTATGTGCTGTGTCTTTTAATCTGTTCTGACTCTCCTTCCAATCAGTTTCATTGGCTGATCCTTTTGGGTTCTAGTGATAGGAGAGATGGAGAAAAATGTTTCTCTGAACACTTTCTTTGCATCATGCTTAATTTTGGGCATCTCTTTGTTTGCCCGCGTAACAAGGTGAATGAGTTTAGCAAACCTAAATGTAGTAACTTCTCATCATATGGCAGTTGCTGTAGCACGTTTGATGAAAGGGGTCATTTTAGTTGCCCTTTTCTGCACCCTTCGCAAGTCTGTAATATCCCTGATGAGAACCACAGCTAAAAAAGGAGGGTGCTTTCTTCTCTCCTTCTCCACTTCCTGTCATATAAACAAAGTATAATCAGCAAATATTTTTTTACTTTCATCAGCATTTTCATTCATTTTTCAAAACGGCATAGCAGTATTTTCGGTGAGTAATTCAAACAGCTATGCACAATTGAACTACTCATATTTATAATGGTTTGAGCAGAAGGAGTTACAGAAAGCACAATTTTCTGTTTTTTTTCTGTTACTCTCCCTGAACATACTAGCTTACATTTCTGTGTAGAGAAGCAGCAGTACTTTTCTGGGTAATTACTTGAATTAAATACAGCAACATAACATTAGTTCTGTACTTTCCCTTAGAAAACAGAACAGTTCCAAACATGAGCTATAAACTAAAATTCCCTGGTTCAGATCTTCAGCTGAGCCATGACCATGTTTGGTAGTCCTAGATAAGCTGCTGATGTGCAGTGAGAATATGATGATAGTGAGGCGTGCTACATTTTTTCTATACGGATTAATGGGATAATGTATGAAGAACACTAACACAAGGTGGGCAACCTGTGCTTCTAGGACTACATGTGAGAATTTAATGTTGCCCTATGCTTAATTTTCAAAGCCCTTTGCATGTGATTAATTCTGACCTCCAACACTAATCCCGAAAAGGGGGAAAGGTCCCTAGCTGGGGACCTTTCCTAACACTGAGATGAAAAATAGCCCACATGTGATGCTTCGAAATAGATTTATTTTTCCATTGCACTTGCTTGTATCATGCATACTGAACTTACTCGATTCATATGTCTGAGTGTGGGCATCTGACTCTTGGTGTCTTTGCTTCTCTCTAGAGACAGCCTCCAGCCTCATGTACAGCTCTCTGGTCCTACAATGATTCACGATGGGATGAGATCACCAAGGTGCCTCACTTAACCCAGGAGCTGCTGAAATATCTGGAGTACCTCAGGCCAGCTTGCCACTGAGTTCTTAAGGGGACATATTCTTTACTGTAAAGGGTGCTGTGGTTTCTGAGTGTGTACCTAATGGCAGCCTCCAGTGTAGCATCGGTTTTTGTTCAGTGTTGGATGCATATATGCAGAAAGACTGTTGCAGTGTGTGTGTGGGGGTATCTGTATGTGGACAAGCATTCTGAGCACACATGCAATTTTGGTCTGGGGCTAGGGATATGTATGTCTGTGCAAGAGGCAAATGATATAAGGATGTGTGCCCAGAGAAACGGCTAGCTCCAGAGTAAACCAATGCAGGCATACCAAGTGGTTCTTAAGAGATGGAGCCCGGCTCCAAAGAAGAGGAGGATCTCTTAACTTTAATTATCCAGTTGTCCTATTTATAATAATAATAATAATATAATAATAATAATGATGATAATAAGCATATCTATTTCCCCTACATGCTTGTTCACTTACTGCACTATCCAGCAATTCTGCTTTGTCATGCTGGAATACAATGCCTTTTAAAATAAAACCAAACTCTTTTTTATGTTTCTGACTGCAGTGTATGTCTGAAAAGGCCGATCTGTATGCTCTTGTCAACGGCAAGTGTGTCTGTTATGTCCATCTCTGGCCTTGTTGAGTAGTCTCAGTTAACGCCATCACCTAGTGTCCAGACGGTCCTCCTCCCTCGATGACTGCACCACTGTGTTTACTAATACAGTATTGTTCCTTATGACATGGAGGTTTTGAAGCTTTCTCGGGATAAGTCAGGAAGCAGAAGTGGATGGCTCACAGGGCATTGCATTCCTCTTCCTGCTAGAAAACAGTGCAAGCACCTTTCTGTATTCAGGCCCCTGCCTGTGCTATGTTGCTATCATATACCATCCTGAAGGGAAAATACATAGAGAAATAACAGCCAATGCCTGGTGCTGGTGGTGTTAAAGATAATGGATGTTTGAGGGCTTTGGGGCCTGCTGACCCGGAGAAAGGACACAGGGAGGTGTTTGCTTATCTTCTTGAGCCAGCTAACCAAGAGAGTCTCAGAGTTGCTGGAAGGCCAGGGAAACATTAACATTAAGTAAGTATTCTCATCATTGAGAGTAAGAGAATAATATAAGGACAACCTACTCCAACCTTTGGCATGGAAAGACAAGGTAAAATAAGACAATTCTTTTAAAATGAATCTATGGTAATGGCTAAGCAGTTGGGATATCTGACTGCATAAAAACAGACAGCGCGCCAATTGTCCTATTACTGGCCAAGTCTCAAATGCCTGTGGAAGTGGAGGGAGGAGTTTTTTTTGGGGGGGGGGTTTGCCCAGGTTTTTAATTTAGTCATATGAGGCCTCACCTGTCATTTAAAGCAGCACAACCCAGACACAGGATTTCCATCTCACTCATACCGCAGAAGAGCCTTGCTGGACTGGACCAAAGGCCTATTTCCTCCACCACTGTGTTCCCACAGTAGCTAACCAGATACCTCCACGGGGAGCCCACAGGCAGGACGCCAGGGCAACAGTCCCCTCTTGCTTCTCTTCCCCAGCACACTGGCTCTCATACTGTCGAAGGGAAAGCAGACCCATCATCGATCACTTTATCCACCACCTCGTCTGTTTGTGAGAACTAGGCCTACATTTCTGACATAGCAATGGAGCCATTGTTATTGTCAACCTGCCCTTATCCAAAAGTTTTTCCAACAAACTGCTGCCTCAGGCAATGAGCCAATATAGTCACACTTTATTCATTAGGAAATGAGCTGTGGGGATTGTTATTGTGGTTACATGGGAAAAGGAGGATGAGTTCTATTTTTCAGCCTATTTCATATGTGGTATATGTGAACAGGTAGATTTCTTACAAGATCAGACATGCATAAGGAGAAAGAAATCAGAGGACAATGATAGCACAAGGGAAACTCAGCTTTAAAAGGAGAGGCAAAATGATAGGAAAAAAATATTCTGTAATTTTTTTCCAAAAAGGAAAGAGCACATTGCTTGCATCCACACCTGCACCATACTTTATGCATAAATAGTGCAGGGCAGCCTGGGACAATTACCCATTGAAGAAAGCTGACAGGAACAAGGAGGAGAATGTTGTTATGACACTGGATTGTTGATGCGCCCCATAAAGACAATGTTTTTCATGTCTTTCAACAATATAAATAAGAAGGGCTGCTGCACTTCCAAGAAATTGGCTGTGCGTGCCACAGAGACTGCTGTGGTGGCAGCTGCCTCCACTCCTTCCTCACTGATTTCCATCATAGCCCTGTGATATGCGGTGGACACTTGCAGCTCTTCATCCTGAGAGATCCCACACAAATTGGTTTCAAAGAAAATGCCATAATCTGAAAGAGAAGGTTGGATTGAACATGTAAGTATCTTCTCTCTCTCTCTCACTCT